GACAAGGCTGCGTCCGGTCCCCTATCGTATTTGTATTGTACATGGATAAAATAAACCAGCGCAGCCAGGGCGACGAGCGCATAGACGTAGGAGATGTGGATACCAACAAGGATGTTGTTTGCAAATGACCTTGTTTTGCTGGCATTTTCTGAAACTGATTCTCTGGAAAGAATTACAGCCGAGTGCGACTTGACCGGCATGCGTGTGAACGCATTTAAAACGAAAAATAGAATGCCTTCTCGTTCCCTTGCCCGTGCTCTTTTCAGATAAACGGAGAAGAAATGGAGCAGGTGGGGGAAATTCAAGTAACTCGGAGTCGTTTTTACTAGTGATGGAAAATTTGAGGAAGAGATCTACCAGCGAATTGCAGGAGAAAGTGGTGTTCTGTGTGAACTAGCCTGATTCACTGTGGCTAAAGCAGAGTTGCGTCTGAAAATTAAGTTCTCAGTTCAAGTCGGTTTTTATTACCATGCTAAAGTACGGTCGTTAGCCACTGACCAGGATTGAAAAACTTTGATCGCGGGTACAAGCAGCTGAAATGGGCCCATTGAGACGAGTCGTTGACCTTAAGCGTGTCAGCACGGTCCGGAATACAGAAATTCGAGATAGCCTTGGTGAACAGCTACTGTTCATTAAGAATAAGAATCTACAGTAGCAATGGTTTGGCCGCGTGTTGCGAAAACCTTGAAAAATGACGGCGAAGCAACTACTATTTGCCCGACCAACTCACTGGAAGAAGTCCCAGAGAACGACCAAGTCTATCGTGATCCAAATGCACTGAATGAGTCAGCACAAGAGGCTCTGATTAACAAGAAAATATCAGTTGAAAAGATGGCGAGGGTGATATACAGAAACCGTGGAACATAAAAAAACAACCGACGGCCATCATCTGCATTCCGTAATTATAGTACTATTTTGAATCCACCCGGCGAACCAAATGTTCGGCAAATGGGTGCATCGATTTCAGGCCAATCAGCTAACAGCATCCCTGCTGACGAAAACAAAAAATATGATTATACCGAAAGAGAAAATAAATAGTACAATACTGATTAACCCTCGAAATGGAAACTGAGATTACAGCTTGTTGATTGTTACACAGGAAAATCAATTATGAAGTGGGTAAAATCGAATTTCAGCTATAAGGGACGATCTCATCAGACAACACGATCACTGACACCGTCCATTCTGACGACCAGAATAATATAGCCCGCGCAGTACAGGACTGCGAAATACATGGCAAGGTGTGTGGACGTGTGCAATGAACTCGGCGTCAGTTCATTTTCTCTGTTATGGTCAAAACATAATCTACGAAATTGTTCCACAGCATGAAAGGTAGGAGTTAAAAGTGCATGGAATTAGTGATAAACTATTGTCTGTTAATCAGGGTCTCTAACATCCATGTAAACTTGCAGACTGCTTAAGACTTGTGATATCCGCTCATCTCCACTCATCGCATCATGACATTAGGAGTTTTTAGCTGCGTCGACGAAGGAAAGGTTCCTTATCGACAACAGATTTTCGTTTAGTTTCCTCTGCCAAGTGATTCGCTGGCCACCGATCTTTGACTGTTTGTATCTGGGTTTTCATATCAGCAGATGACGAGCGAGTAAGTACAAATGATCGAACCGCGCCAATCGTACGTCTCTCAGCACCTATGATATGCCGATGAGGTAGGCTAGCGACAAGGCTCCATTGCTTTTAATGTGGCGATCCAGTAGATGTATACGATGGACATGAATATAAATAATGATATAAACCAAAACAGAAGTTATGTCGAAAGAAAACACGAAGTGTAAAGCATATTAAAGCACGTACGCAGCAGCCACGAAAGCACCAGCGATCATGAGGAAGATAGAAATGACGACCGTACTTCCAAATTTGACTCTAAGAGAATTCAAGTGTACAGAACTCGAATTTGAAAATTAAACGGTTTACTGTAGAAAAATAGCTTCTCCAAACATACAGAACAACAAAGTAAAACGCCGTAGGACGATGAACATCGGCAAGCTGAAAAAAGATATATAACAAAATAGCTCAAAACGAGACCAAAATATTACTTGAGCTTCTTTGTGCCACCTAAACCGAAAATCTGATTCAAGAAGTACAGGAGAGGCAAAGGAAATATCTAAAGAAAACTCGGCATTATACGAAAATTTCTGAATATCCAGTACCGATTTGACCAAAGAAAGAGAACAAGAAGGAAACGAAATAATATGCGAAAGTCTTCCGAAGAACAAAACCGAAACGGTAGCAAGCATCTAGCAAACGAAACCTTGTTTGGCATTACAAGCAAGATATTTGTGAATACCTGTCCAAGGCCGACGATTAGAAATGAAGGAAACCTAAGCACAATAATCACAGAAGTAACAGGTAACTTACCTTACCTGTAATTTGTAAGGATGATTTTGTTTATAATCATCAAGAAACTAGATGAACAAACGTAGAATAGTGCACTTAATATGCAAGAGAATTGTTCTGCCTTCATTTCTTCCTACATCGATAAATATAACATTAAAGTTACGACAAGCCATCAAAGAAAAAGTTGTCAATACTAAAGCACGATGTTGCACATTTTTAATCGAGGTTTAATTTACAGGAAAACAATATCAAATTACAGAGTCAAACTGACTTTCGACATGGTTATATGAGTGCAAAACCCTATTCAGCATAAATGACATTGCACTAGGATGCATGTCATGGGCTATTCATTGAGCATTTTATGGTCTCTTCGTACGTAAACGATGTTTCATCACTACCGAACCGCTGAACGCTGTCTTCAGTTGTTGAAGCCCCATACCAAAGACTCATCCAGGTCAAAGTTGAACTCGTCCAATGCTAGAAGTAGCTGTGTCAGATACAGACGATACTGCGGAGTCCGCAGAAAGCACGGTTCGTTGTAGATCATCTGAGTCACCGGAGCAGCAGCGAAGAGCGAAATCAAACCGGAAAGCATATGGTCCCTGAAACACCGATCTGTCAGAGTTGTAAATAATAAAATAAAATAATGTTTTCAATAAGGATTCAGTAATGATAGTCGTCCTAGACGAACTATAGGCAATGAAGAGTAGCGATATTTTGTTGTAGTCAAAGAACTGATCTAAAATTCGAATGAATTAAACCAAGCAAAACTGAGGCACAGACTTTCAACGACAATCAAAACAAAACGGAAAAGTGCTATTTCAAATAGAACAACAGTCTATACATTCTGATACGCATAGAAGTAGACTTGCAGTTCAGTTTCAACTTGAAGGAGAACTTTGTTCGTCCAGCTGTAAAAAAATCAAAGCAAAAACCAAACGTGAAGCATTTGCCACTGCTTAAGGCTATCGCAATTCACCCTGAGCATTAATTAGCAAACTTATGATTCAATCACGCATGTCTTTCGATGATTTTTTATGAATATATCAGAGGAACAGAAGAACGCAAATATTTGGAACATAACCTAAGAAAGGCTACATCTGTGTGTACAAATTTGAATAAATTATGTAAGATACCTTACTGCAAATAGATAGCGGAATATACAGATGTTAGAATGAAATTCCTGAAGACAGCTAACACTGATTGGTAAAAATATAACAAAGTGCATTTAACTTTACTGATAAACGAATGACAGAAGTTAAAAAAAGTATTAAAGAAAATAGTTTTTTTCACATGCAGACGGTACCTGTCAATCAACAATATCATATTTTGGAATGGAGCTTAACTTATGTCACGATAAATTTATACTGCAACATACAAAAGAATTATTACATTAACGCTGCTTTCTTACTTAATTAAAGCCAAACATGTTAAAGACGAGGTAACTGTACTAAATAAAGATGTAAAATTCTCGGCCCAATAAAATTCATACTTTTTACTCAAGACTACGTACATGCAAAAACATTCAGGCAACCCGTAAGTAACATAATATTTAAACCAATATTAAACTAAAGATATTAAACCTCCCATAAATGTAACAAAATTCCGTAAACCAAACTCAACCGTTACGAAATTTAGAGCTATTAAGATGCTAAACATGTCTCCCTAGCTGTTGGCCATTTGGCGCATCCCCCCGGTTGCGGAAAGGTAGACGACCTCCAGAAAAAGAAATGAGTTGTGACATAGAAGCAATCGCGGACAGACAGCGGTAAGACGACTAAGGCGCGGCTAGGTTCGAGCTCCCTAAGTTCGATACTAAGAGAAAAGTCACAATGCCCCATGACAGTCTCATGACGAAACGAAAGCTACCCGCCCTTTCCAAGGGTCAATGTTCATTGCTAACTGGCAGTTAGGCGTTAGAAGAGACTATACGATAAGAAAAGATGGAATTCAAAAGCCCATCGGCACTAAATTCCCCAAGCGACCGTCAGTCTTGCCAGCGGGAAGCAAAACTTTATGCGCTATGACAATACAAAATGTAACGTCAGCTGGATTTAAGTGTGGTCTCAATTACATAGGATAAACCGGCAACACTGTAGAAAAGAGGAAGGAAGAATACCTCAGTAACCTGACTAGATGACGCGACGCCGATCTACGTCAGAATGCGAAAAATAGAGAGAAGATAAACGAAAAATCTGCAGGTAGTAAATCAGGAATGGGAAAAGAACTCGGTGGCTGTGCAATATATAGTTCAAGAACAACACCGCATATTGTGGGACCACATGAACGGAATACACTGAGAGCGAAACTTTCTAAACAAGATAATGTGACAACCAATCCATTGCATGAATAAAGATGTCGGGATGGAACTAAGTTCGCATTGAAACGAAGTTAGCAAGCAACTTTCAGTATCGAGGCTAAAACCACCATTATGAAGCTGGTTCCTAAATATACCGACCATTATTGTAACATCATATCAATAATATGTCACTTGCTGAAGATGGATGGAGCATGATCTGAAACGCTGGACAATTCGCATATAAATTTAATATGCGGAGTAATCCCGTAAAGTCTATTAAATGTTGAACATAATTCCAGCATAAAAAATTCACCTTCGTGTTGAAAATTATATGAATGGACTAATTTGTTGAATAACTCAATTATAAAATTAAGTCCTACACTGAAAATTTTGTTTAGAAAGCGTCATCTACCGAAAAAGTGCCGAAATACAATGAAAATAATGTATCGGATGGCAGACCGCTCCGTTATTTCGATGAGTGTTTCATTAACTCATTCAGCATAAAATGGCTGATACTCTATTGTTCTTGTCCTAATCAAGTACAACCCTGGATAATTGCGACTCTATGAAAAAGTAACCATTTCGGCATCTTCGGCCTGAAGTAACAGCGGAAAGATGAATCAAGCTAAACTGGCCAAATAATGATGACAGTCCAACGTGGCTGTTTAGCACACATCTCCAGCTGAACGAATCTGACAACTAAGTGAAAATATATATTTCCTCTGGGACATACTATGTGATGTGCGTGTCTCTTTTGATTTTTAGTTGTTGAAGCGATAGGAAAGGGATTCTGACCAATATGCTTCTTTTAATATACCCGTCGCATTATTCGGCAAACGTACACACACTTTATCACACAACGCATAAACTCGCGCTGAATGTTCAAGAAAACCACCAGGCAAATAGAAAAAATATAAAATTTATTCAGTGCTGCAGGTAGTATACATTGCACGGTGGCAGAGACGAAGCGATAACACTTACAAAATGCACACTGAACGATCTCGGTGATATTCTTTCTTTCGAAAACTATCTGACGACACTACGCTACATTTCTGAAAACATTGCTCATACGAAAAAATACGGAGTATCTGAACAGGCTAAGCATAAGATCATATCAGAAGAAAATTACTGAAAGTGCTAAAAGACTAACCTTATCGATAAAAGGATGAACATTTCGAATTTGCCGTCCTTCCCAAGTGCGCTGTGTGAATCGATCTTGGACACCAGTGCACAGCAATAGCGCATGAGCGACTTGCTTTCGTCACTGGACAGGAAGTTTGGATCCATCAGCAGTTCATGAGACCAGGCGACGAACTTTTCTATAAGTAAAGAAAAATAAAAATACACACATGCAAAATAATAAACTGGACATACCGATGAAATCCCACGGAAAAAATTGGCGAAAAAGTCTCGATGAATGAAAGCCGACTAGAAATGCTTCGATAATGCACCAGACGAGACCTTTTTCCCCACACAACAAATGGGTCAAACTTCCTTTCTTAAATAAGACTACAGATTTTCAAGCAGTAATTTAGGGATTGACAACAAGCATATTTCATCTTTGCATTTTTCCTACATATTATGGAGACTACTTGGAAGATTACTAATGGCAACCTAAACATCAATTATACGGAATGGCTAGAAAGGTAAGGAATACTAAAACATGATTCATGAATCATAACGAAAAGAAAATAATTCAGCATCACCATGCTTTCAGATCTGATTGTCAGTGAAACGAGGAAGAAAAAATTCAATATGCTTAAAGAATGAACGCTTCGACCTTTACTAGAGTACAGGTCATTTCTATAGTATGCAATGGTACTCAAACTACTGAGGTTGCAGAACCCTTCATCAGATGATGCCGTCCGAAGCTGCATTGGGTATTTACTTCCTATCATCACCTATACCAGATCATTCATTTTTGCTGGTCATCAGAAATATCATATCATTTCAGAGCGTGCCTTTAACTAATCTCCTCCATCAGTTAAATTGCTCGAGAATTTGACTGGATTATCAAAGGGTATTCTGATATAGATTATTCCTAAATGAATCATCCTTGATAGCAGTTTCAAAACGATTCTAACCAGAAGTGAATTGTACCGTCGGTTCATCGTACCTTTTCTTTCCAGCACTCTTACACTCGGAAGTACAGAGACAGTGGATTATAAGCAATTGGCATTATGCTTTAGGCATTGTTTCGTTGCACAAAAGTTGACAATGTCTGACAACAGCGATACTGCACAGACCAGTAAACCGTTAACTGATGAAAATTCAATTTGACTTGACCTACTTAAACAATAGCAGTAAGCGGAAGTCAGCTTCCAACCCAAATCACTGAATAGGATTGGGCTCCTGCAAAACAACTCTTTTCAGTATCTAATTCAAAGTCAGCTAGAATATTCTCTAATGCCTGCGAAAACATAAGCACATATGAAAAAATTCGTTAACAAACGACAGAGTCGTAAAATTCACCATGGTGAAGTCAGTAAAGTCGCTGATTCGGTTGGCTGAAGGTACAGTGAAAATGTGAACACCATGTAGGAAAAATGTAAATCGACAAAAAATCTACAAATGTGGTGTGACTGAAGACCACAACAAATTTCCTGGAATAAAGTTAAACTAATGAACGGGACAACAACTTAACGATATAATTTGCTCTTCATTGTTTTGACCACCTACTCACCAGAAACGGAGGCAGCATAACAAAAATAGTACTACTTTAAAATAGTGTTTAAAAGATTCTACTCTCCTAAAAGAAAGACTTAAATAACGTTAGAAAATATCGAACACTGGACAGACTGAAACCCATTTACCACCAAAGAGAGCACAGCAGAAGACGTATGGTGGGACTGTAAATAACTTTACATCATGTCGACCTGATTATACGACATTTTCTTGATTGATTACGGAAACACACAGAAGAATGAAATTCAGAACTTTCTGCCTAAGACTACCGTGAAAGAAAAATACTGACTGCCATGAAACGTAGATCAGCCAGCTTCCGCTTGTTTTCAGTATGAAAATAAGTACGTAGGATAAATGATAAATACATAACAATAAAAACGAAAGAAAAGCTATATCGGCAATGTACAATGCGATACGTTACGGAGGCATCATATGACGATTAGATGACACATTATATCAGCAATTCTGTTAGTGTCGAAGTAAAACGGCGAGTTGATCAAAGAGAAGTCGCAGTTGTACTCACTTCTTTATCCGGTCGATAAAAATGTTTAACGATGTTGTTCACAGCGTCGCCAAGAAATTGCTGAATTTCTTCAATGCATTTTTCTGAGAAAAAAACAATGGTTGCATAACCTCAAATAACGTCACATGCAAGAGATGTTACTCATTAAAAACAGGAAGACGGTTACAATCCCGATTTAAAAAAAAACTTTCATGTCTTAAGATATGAGATCTTTTTAATTAACAGGTATAAGGAACTGACGGACGTAAACAGTTGATACTGTAAAGAAATGACAAACAAAATGCAAAAAAAAGTCATATCATAAGCGAAAAATCAGTTTACACAGATTTACGCAATAGTCGCAAGTACAACACAGTAGTTCCATTCATCGTCCTAACGTTATACAGCATTATAAATCAGCGTACAGACATCATGTGTTAACTCTTGTACTGAGAATTTGTTAGCGTGTGGCTGGCATTCAGTCAAATCACACCTAATAAGAGCGACAATCTTAAGTCATATCATCTGAAGGTTAATTAACCCACCTAACAACTATGAAGAAAAAATCGATGTCGCATTAAATCATTTTAAGCCCAAGAGTCAAACATCATTAATTTGGGTACTCGGTCTGTCTCTAATACCCCAGATGACGATGACAATGACCTAATATTCAATATAAAAAAAACCAACCAGCTGTAAAAAAACGCATTTTACTGATGAAGATAGAAACAAATTTTGATGTAAATAACAGTTCAATGCATTTTTTTAATCATTTTGCATTAACCATAGCGAGAAACAAGTAGCACAGCCTTGTGAAGTGTGGAACAGCACATAGAAAATTAACATTATACAAGACCATCGGCTGCAAAATTAAAAAATTAACGATTTGATCACAACTTGTAACAGTGCGGGTATAGAAAGCAACATGGTAAATGCCTCTGGACGAAAAGGACGATCGCTGAGTATCAACGAAGTGATGAAAATTATAGTCTAAATCGAATAAACTTACTGGCCAGCTTGCTAGGAAAGTGAATTAAGGCTACAATGAAAGATCGTATCTGAGAGAAATGTCAAACGACACCAGATGCATGATATCGGAAAAAAAAACAGATTTTTATTCATTCCATGACCATAAGATGTGGCGTGGAAAAATAATGGCACCTAGTCACTTGCCAGAGGATGACAACGGATATTGTAGGTTAATAGATGAAAAAATTAAGTTTTGCGTAACATTCGACGCAATTCCAGCCTTTGTTCACCTCGTAAATGTGCCAATTCTTGACAAAGCACTCAGTCTGAAAGTTACCTCTCGACAATCTACATCATTCTAGTAAATAAATTAATCACTAGTAAACTAACTGAAGACCAATAACAAACAAATGAACAGATATACGATAGGCATACTTGGATCTTCATGAGAAGCTCTTCGAGAAGCACTCGGTGAACGACTTCGTGGAATACGCAACTCTAAATTATAACCTTGTTAAAAAGAGCAGTTCAACAAGTTTTGCACAAAAGTACTGCCGAAAGAACAGAAGCAAACAAGTATACCATGGACAAGCATTTCTCGAGTATTGCTCTACCTGTTAACTTTTGGTTTCGATTTTGGGACTCAAGTTGCAATTCAAGAGCTTATTAATGCAAACCTTTCAAGCATTTTACAACAGCAACTGTAAACAAAGCTCGCCGTGGATAAGAGCTACATTGAAAACAATCTGTTGGAGAAAACAACGAAAGATTTCGATGGCAAGTCTAACATACGAGCAGGGTGGAAGACATCGAGAAATTTATAAACTACGAAATCCGGTATACATCAGATACAATTGCTGATTCAGAAATAAATTTTCAAAAAAAAACAGTTTCTAAAGTTTAGATCAAGAGTGACTTAAACAAATCTGAAAAAAATGAAAAGGATAAAACACTGAGTTAAATAAACATGACAAGCTTTAAATTCGAAGTCAATAACTAAGTTCAAATAAAGTTGAAGCGTCTTCAATTTAAGCATTTTTACATAAAAGGTCATTACACCTGGACCGGGTTGCTTAGTGTTGTTCTCAAAGGACGAGAAACTACGAGTTCAAAGCACTTGTCAGATCACTTGCATTTTATCTCGTTAAGGGAGATAAAAGAGTACAACCCTAATGCAAAAGGAAACAGGAGGCCAACAGCCATTCTTGCCACGTAGCTGTAAACGTTGTTTTTAAAACGATAGGCATAAGTGAAGGTGAGTGCTGTACCATAAGCTCCATGAAATAGGCATCAAAAACGTTGCCCATCATGCAAACGTAAAGGAAACCGATATTCCAACAGTAACAAACTTGCCTTCCTTTCTGGAATAACATATTATACGACCGAATAGGTGACACGAGTTCAAGAAGAAAGATTCCGAAATGACACTGGACAGGTAACATCTGGAAATAAACGAAACAAGATCATTTACGTCACAAGGATCGAATGGGACTGGTAGAGAAGGAAACCATATCTCCATTCTATCATACATGACTTAATGATTTAATATAGCATTTTATATCAGAATGCAAAACGCAGCCCTGGTAGCTGGACTTTGGAAAAAACAGCACAAGGTACACAAATTTATGAGAAAGTATTAAACGTGGTGGAAATCGTATCATTTGACGTTTATAAAACGGATATATTTTAATGACCAATGCAAACATATCAACAACCAAACTCCGCCATGGCCGGTCCCAAGCCCGGATGAGAAAGGAGGAGGGTTGGAGACCGTGGCAAGTC